GAGCTTGTAAAGCGTAACTTGCTTTTAAATAAATATTGATGATTTGGATTTGGTAGTTCTATAGCTGGAGGCTTTGCTGCCCAATAGAGTTGGCATGGTATAAAGCTATTTTCTGCGAACTGCAATGTTGCAAACCTTTCTGTGGCACAGAACAAGTCAAATTAAGTATAGCTGTGACAAATGAAAACTTAATAACAATTTTCTATGTTGTATTTCTCTAGGCTTTTCTTTGGCACTGACAAAATAACATGTATTTATTTTTAATAAACTTTTTCCTGTTGTGCATGAGCACATTTAATGGATAAAATGCACTATGCTATCAAGCTTTAATAAAATACAGCGTTTACATCTTGGAGGCCTGGCATGCAGAGAACTTGAGTTCTTTGAAAATATTTTAGAAGGTTTTCTGTTACGAATACACAAGTACTATAGATAAGACAGTAACACTTACTGTCATTTAATATAATTTGGGAGGAAAGGACAATCAGTGGTGGTCTGTTACAATCCGAGACTTCAACTTTAGTTTTCTTCCAGAGACAGAAACCTGTGCAGGATGCCTGAGGTGTTCTTAGTGGGTCTTTAAAATGAATTCGCTGGTGTTTGCAATTTGGTTACTTGAAACCCAAATACTTCTAATTGAAAGTGCAGCTTAACTTCATTTTTTTTTTTGGTAGCTGACCCCAGTAGTGACCATGAGAAGATGGAGTTTGTGAATTTGGTGCTGCTCTTTTCTGAATTCACTCGGCACGATGTCTTCTCCCACGACGCGTACATGTGCACTTTAATATCACGCGGAGACTTGTCAGTCGCTGCGGCTGCCAGAGCACAGTCACCGAGCAGGGAGGCCCTGGACGAGCACTGCTCGAAGGACCACAATGGGAAGCTGCAGGTAACACTTCGAGCTGCTTCTCCCACGTTTTGTACCCTGTTTTGTCACACAAGAGTCACCGTCCTGGTCTGTGAGTGTCCCTGAGCAGAACTGCTCGCAGGATATACGTAAGGTTTTGTTTCCCCTTTGGCTCCTGCCCTTTTCTATGCTTTTGTAGATTTAGGCTTGAGAAGTAATTTTGTGAATTAAGGCACATCATAAAGATGTTAAAGTTGGTATCTGAAAATGTCTTGCCATCAATACTTTTTTCTTGATTTTTGAAATGGGTGGAGTACTTGGGTTTACCTGTGATCGGTTAAACTGGTCTTCAGTGAAATGGGACTGATGCTTTTTTTTCCTCTCTGGCGATTATTAGGATCATGGTATTATGGAACATATGGGCATTGACTCAGGAACTGGTGGTATCTTTGATGTAGACAAGAGTGACTTTAAGGCAGATTTTGGTTCGGAATTTCCAGTAGGTTTAACTTTGGATTCTCTGCATGCCTCTGCCTGTGCCACCACCCTGCTTCCACCCACAGCCGCTGTCCTCCGGTGTCCAGCCCCTGTTGTGTCAGGGCATTGCCTCCCTCCTCTGCATCTGCTGTGACACCCAACTCCTCTTCTGCTGTCTCTGTGCACACTGCTTTCCCTCCTTCCCTTCTTGCCCCCCAGCATGCTGAGAGTGCTGCGTATTATGGTTAAGCATGAATAAAGATGCAGATTTACCACTTCTTTGACATCGAAGAACCCATTGATACCATTTGCTTCTCAAGTGACTGTGTTTTGGCTGTTACCTTCTCTTCTTACCGTTGGCCTGGCCCTGCATCACTCTTCAATCTCCCAGTTCCTCGTTCTGCATCCCTATGGACTCCTGTGCCCAGACCCTCTTGCAGGATAGAGGGACCCCAGTATCTGCCTGGCATCTGTCACACTGGTTGTTCCAAGCATATCCATGCCTGCCTACAGTGTCACCTCCCACTTCACCCTTTTCATTATTTTCCTTCAATCACAGGAATATCTCATGTGTCAGTGGCATAAGAAATGTGGAGATTGCTCTGAATCATAATACTTTTTTCCTGACTAGTTTAAAACTTGTCTAATAGCAATGGAGATATGCACAGAGATAGAATGTGGATATGTATCTTAAATTTCAGGCTTGATTACCACTGCTCTTGCTTTGTCTGTCTTTGAAAACACTGCAGATGTTTAAAAAGTAACTAAGCAAGAACAGAATTGTATCTCTGAATGCAACAGCTGAATTTGGAAAGCTAGAGGTTACACTTCCCTTCAACGTTTGTTTTACATGACTTAGATCTTTTCTTCGATGCCTGAGGAGCCGTGTGAGAACGTGAACTCCTCTTTAGACCGAAGAATTTTGGTTACCAGAGAGAGGTCGATCAAGAGGGACAGACCGCGGGAACCAATCTTCCCATCTAATTATGATCTCCTTCGCCACCTGCAGTACGCAACGCACTTCCCCATCCCCCTGGTGAGTGAGTGGGCCCCACGTGCGGCCGTGCTGCCGTGGTGAGGTGACAGCAGAGCAGTGAGAGGATGAAATGTCACTGCTGACAAAGCCAGGCTGTGGCCTTGCCCAAGGGCTCCCAGCCGGTTTTCGTGATGCTATGGGGTGCCCTCAGTGCAGCACATGGGCGTCTGATTTATCAAAAGGGGGTGGCTGGGAGAGCAATGAGAGGTGCAGTAAGGTATGATGGTTTACTCGGGTGAAGGAGACCGGCACTGTGTTCTAGGATCTGATCAAAGTTAGCTACATAGAAAATCTGGTACTGCAGCTGGACAGTGGATGACTACCAAAATACCTGAAAGCAGCAGCTCAGAAACGTGTGGGACAGCGGTGTTTTTTCCTCCCGCCCACTCCTCATGTTTCTGGCGTGGGTTTTTGGCTGTGCTGGTGCTGTTTGTGTGGACTGATGGGAACTGAAGCAAGGCCCTGAATAACATCCCCGGTCCCAAACCCCCTGCAGCTGCTGCAGGGCAAAAAGGGCCCGGATACTGAACAAGACTTGAACTGGAACGTAGATACTTGAGGATTTATTATTTATTTATTGTTTTTCTTTAAACAACAATAATGTTTTAACAATATCAATCCTATCAATACAAGAAGTGTCATGTGAGAGTATGATACAATAACCTCGGTTTTCTTTGCGTTACATTTCTTACTCCACAAAGTTTGGGTTCTGATTTATAGCAGGTGAGCTGCTGTGAGAGTGCTGAATGAGCTATTTCTGTTCAGGACAGGTTTGAATGCTTGCTTAGAGTTTGATTTATATTTTAAGAGCTAGAAAAAAAGATAACTTGATTTGGTTTTGTTCCTGAAGTATTTTTGATTTACAGATCAAGCTAATCCAGGTAGCTGCAAATATATTGTCGTGGTTTAGGGCTGGGCTGGCCACTAAATCCTGGACAGACGTTCTCTATTAACCCCTCTCCCGTCCCCAGAAGGGAAGAGAAAAGAGAATAAGGGAGAGAGACTTTACGGGTTGGAAAATAAACTAACATATTTAATAAAACAATAATACTAATACTACAGGATAATATTGTAAATAGGAAAATAATGAAATATATACAAATATGTACAAATATATATAAAACCAATATAAAATCCTCCCCCCACCCCCCCCCCAATGACAAATACGTCACCAGAGGCTCTGCAGAGCCAGGCACTGGAAAAGTCCCAGACCAAACTCAGCAGCAGGTGGGAGCAGGATGCAGGACACACAAATCGGGATCAGCGGCAGACGAACTGGCAGGATTCTGCTCAGGCCTTGGCCTCTGCAGGATCGAGTCAGGCAGAAGGGTACCAGATCAAAGGGCTCCAAGATGGAAGAAGAGATTGAGACCCTCGTGATCCCTCGGCTTTTATACTGACTATGACATATGTGGGATGGAATACCTCGTTGTTCTGTTTTGGGTCCGCTTCCCCCCTGTAGGCGCAGACACTGCACCCATGATGAGACAACTGACCTTGAGCATATCTTCTAGCAGCACTGTCTGGGAAAACAATGCCTTTAGTGTCAGCAAGTTCACAGAATCACAGAATCGCTCGGTTGGAAAAGACCTCTGAGAACATCACATCCAACCGTTCCTGTCTACCCCCTAAACCATATCCTTAAGTACCTCATCTACTCGCTCTTTAAATACAGCCAGGGATGGTGACTCCACCACCTCCCTGGGCAGCCTGTTCCAGCCTCTGACAACCCTCTTGGTAAAGAACTTCCTCCTTATCTCTGACCTGAACCTCCCTTGGCACAGCTTGGTGCCGTTTCCCCTTGTTCAGCCACTTAAAAGAGACTGAGCTGAAAAGTAAAATCACTACATAAAAAATTAGTTCTATTTAGCTCAAACCAGGACACACACATATATATATTTTAAACTTTTGATTATTGAATATTCTACGTATGCATTATTTTTTGAAGTAATTGTAAGTTAAATATTAATTAACTTAATTGCTGTTTTCTAAATTCTTATGAATAAAGCAAGTAGAACATACTGAATATTTATACTTACTCTATCTTAATTTTATTATTTCCCTGAATTTTCTGTAATAATGTGTTGTTAGCTTTTTTTTGTGTTCATTGAAGCAGCAGCAAGGAAAGGCAATGGAACTTGGCAAGGACAAGATTTATTTATAAAGATTACAGGTGTGACGTAAGCAGATACCTTTAACTCCAAAGCATTTTAGAGGACATTATTTACTCCAGAAAGTGATTTGAAGCTATGCTGATTAAAAAATGATTGTATCTGTGCAACTTATGAACTGCTGTTAAATAATCTCTTCATTTGATTGCACCAAGTCATTTACAATAGGAAGTACACAACATTTAACTTAGAAAAGGTGGGTTTGGGTGTTCATCATAAATAATTCCAAGGTATGCTAGGGTCTGTCTGAGTGTGCTGTGGTTTTGGGTGTTGCTGGTCCTTGTTAGGCCATCACCAGTATGTTCGGCTGCCTCCAAGTGGCATTAAGGGATGCTGGGCAGACCCCAACATAGTGGTCGGTGTTGAAGTTTTCTCCTGCTCGGGTGCATTCAGCAGGGGTGGCGCTGGCCACAGTGGCTGTGGGGGTGTTCATGCCAGGATTTACTGGTCCCTCTGATGTATTTTAGGATCAGTGCTCTGGCACCTGCTGCTCCCTCCTGAGCTGCACCTCGTCGTTCCTGGAATCCTTTGCCTCTTTAGATGCTGCAAAAGTCTCAGAGAATTTCAGCCGGAATGACTTGGAGAGGTGGTAATAGAGGATGGGGTCGAAGCAGAGGTTGGACACGGCGAACAGCAGGGTGGACTCCTTGGCTTTGAAGAGCGCCTGTTTGAGGGAGCAGCTGGTGATGGTGTCACTCTGGCTCAGGGTGTAGGGGATGCGCACGATGTGGTATGGGACGAAGCACAGGAGGTAGCCCGCTGTGACCAGCAGGATGCTGACCAGGGCTTGCTTCACGTTGGTGTAGCTCTCGCTGTATTTGTTTCGGTAGAGTTGTCTCACAACCAGGAAATTGGAAATCAGTATCACAGCTGAGAAATTCAGAAATATTGCTGTGCATATGAAATTGGTAAACACGTGCCAGTCCCTTCCAAACTTAGTTTTGAAATCGATGCATCCTGCCCCAGGTCTTTCCTCGATGGTTTTTGTTGGAATAGCCATGTTAGGCACTGTGATGAGGAGCACCATGGTCCACACGACTGCTGACAGCATCTTGGCAAACCCGGGCTCCTGGATGCGGTAGATCTTGTAGCTGTGCATGAGCTGAAGGCAGCGATCCATGCTGACAAAGCCCAGAAATATGATCGATAAATACATGTTCAGGTAGATGAAGCAGGCTGTAACTTGGCAGTGGAATATTCTCAGTTTCCAGGGTGCAACTCCTAGGTCAACAATAATCTTTACTGGTAACGCCAAAGTCAACAAAAAATCCGCAGTTAAGAGGTTAATTAAGTAGATGCTCATACACTTCTGTTTCTGACTTTTTTGTGTGAACGCCCATAGCGCAAAACAACTTCCAATGAATCCCATAAGAAAAATCAAGTAGTAAAAATAGGTAAAAGGTTCCATTTCTCTACTGATGTGGCATTGTGAAACGTTGCTTGACATGGTGAACTTCTTGTGCAAGTTGGAGATAGCAAGAACCTACAAAAAGAACCAAGACAACATTAATGACAGCAACTTTTCCTGAGTGACAGGAGTTATTCTTGGATAATTGTTTGATTAATTCCATGGAAAAAATGCAATTGGGAAGCAATATTTTTCTCTTTTCATGCTGCTTCACAGATATTCAAGAGAGCTTTTTTCTCATGTCAGGAAAAATTGGGAATGTATTGGGATTTGTTCTTCTGAGAAACTCTTGCACTTGAGCAGTCTGAGTGTGTTGGGTTCAACCAACCAAAACACCAGTGAAAAGGTGTGAATCTGTTTAAGCATCCAGTTAATAATGGTCATACTAAAACTTCATAACTTTTGAACTATTGGAACTATGCCTAAAAAAGGGCAGTATCTGTAGCAGACTTGTTCTATAAAAACGTATTGGGAGTGTTGAAGTTAATGCGGTGTCAAACCAACACGTGTATGTGTCAGAGGAGCAAACTGTTCTGATCAATCCCAGGTCTTTGCAAAATGCTCCCTTCCTGCTGGAAGAGAGGATACGTTAATCACGTATCTTTGTGAAGCCTTTAGAAAAAGCACATTTTGAAAAGCAGCTATTAAATAATTTTGCTCACTTTCTTTTTAGGCTTCACTAGGAAAAAAAGCAGAAAATGTTTGTCTTCTAACTAAATATACTGCTATGTGGTCAAGCAACAATGCCTACAGCAAAGGAGAGGAAAAACACTTGAGCCTGGCTTTGAGTGCGTTTGGCACCGTTAATTTTCCAGGCTGTGTTTTTGTGTAGATTTCGATGGCTGGAGCAGCTGAGGACCGAGAGCAACACGTACCTGTGCTGGTGCTGGTGGTCTCTGGGCTCCTCAGCATCGGCCCACGGGGGTCTGGGGTCTCCGGGACTGCTCCCGCAGCCCGGCAGCGTGCAGGCCTCTTCCTCTGACTGTGTCTGCTGGCTCTTGAAACGTGGCTGTGGTTTTGAATGTGCTGGCTGACGCAGTTAAAACCAGCGTGCGGATCACTACACCACGGGGGAGTCACCCAAAGAGAGGTGACAGAAACGTGCGTGTTCATGGAGCAGCCCAGAGATCTCCCTTTGCCTCCTCTCGCACCAAGGGGATGGCACAGGGAGCAACGGGGAGGGAAGTGGCTGCAGATGAGCTGAGGTGGCCGTGTTGGTGTGGTGATTATTGCAATTATCACTGTTCAAATTACACTTTTGTGGAGGGAGGGTGCTCGGAGATCTCAGCCTGTCTGTGTCAGAGACAACAGGGATGTGAACTGCTTCATTGCTACCAACATGAAGGCAGAGCAATGTTCACTCTCTTCCTGACTTTAAGCAAGCCAAGCACTATTAAAAACAAAAATGACACACTAATGATGTGGGGAAAATGTTTATAATTAAGCTTTTTGGTTTTTTAAAACCAGGAGAAAATGTCTTAACACCAGGCTAAGTGGCTGAGGCACTCACAGTGATACTGAAACCCCGAATGTTAGTGCTTTGTAGTTGAGAAACCACAGGAATTTACAAATTGCGTACCAGTGCTTTATGAAGAAACAAAGCAAGAATGTCTGGTTTTCAGTTTAGTCATTAAAGTTCAGACCATCTTTTTTAAGGTGTTAGCAAAGCTTCATAACCTGGAGTGATCCTGCGTTCAGGTCTGAGCAAACATGGACTCATTTTATGAGGCTGTGCTCATGATGCAAAACTGACCTTGCTATACTTGTGGTTTGCTTTTTTTTTAATGAAATGTAGCATTTAGTCAGTTGTTTCTGCCTCTCTGTGTCTGTCTCCCTGTTTCTGTACAGTCAGTTTACAGCTCAAAAAGCTTTTCCAGGTTTGGTAAATCTTTACTGAAAAACGGTCTGCACTTCCTATACACGTGTTTTGGGAGGAGAAATATGAAAATGTGACTACTGAGTCATAATTCTGTTTTTATTTTGGTTCAGTGTCATCCTCTTCCTCTGTCTTATCTGTCCAATTTAAAAGGTCACTTTAGTTCATAAATTGTAGATGCAGATGGTAGATTTTGCTGTAATTAAGGTTGCTGAGACTTCTCGTAGAACTCTGTTTTTGGTGGTTTAAACTTTGCTGAGTTTTTGACATTTGATTTGCAATGTTCCATGATGCTCAGGCTGACCCCTGGGACCGGAGGTGCTGCAGGGAAGGGAAGGGGTGCTGATGTGGCTGGGAATTCAGCCAAAATGATTCAATCTTTGCTGAGAACGAAGCTAGGAAAAATAGCACCTAAACCTTAAAACAAAAAAAACCAACAACCAAACAGCCTGAATCTGATGACCTTTAAAAGAGCATAGGGAGTCTTCTGTGGCTGAGCCTGCAGAGACCCAGCAGCTCCTCAGCCTGGGCACAGTTAGCAATGTTGAGTTTAAGTTGTTGGATCACCGTTTCACAGATACGCAGTACCCTGGGGTGATGATCACTGGATGTGCTAATCAAGATGCGCTCATAAAAATAGTTATTTATTGGGGTGAGATGGGGAACGTGTGAGGGTGTTGGCAGAGGGAACCCACCCCCTCTCTGCTGTGTTACTGTCAGCAGATACAGGGGCGTTCCCTCGTCACAGCTCTGGTGGCGACTGTGGCCTCATTGGGGAGATCAGAGTGGCATCTGCCCCTCGTGCGTCAGTTGTTTTTGTTGGGTTTCTAAAACATACAGTGTCTTGAGATGACATCCTGCAGAATTAAACTCCATGAGAGTCCTATTGCTAATTTCTGCAGAACTGGGATTTTTGGTATGTTGAGGCCGTTGTGGAGTGAGTTTTCTCTCCTGAAACAGGATTTTTGAAGGTTCCTCCAGCGGGAGGTTGGTAAGGCAGGAGCAGGTTTGGGTGTGACCACAGGACTGGGGTCTGAGCTGGCTGGGTTTGAGGTGTGCTGTGCTGGGAAAGGTGTGAGAGAATAGTCTTATCCACGGCAAACGGAAAATGGCCCCGTGCCTTTACATCCCAGCTCGTATGGCACAGTAGGGAGCAGGGCTGGGGAAGTGGAGCAGAAACTTGGTTTAATAACAGTGTTATCTGTGACTTGTGCCAGACCACAGTAGCATTGGGGCTCACAGAGGCATTTTCTGACCATTTTCTGTTGGAGAGGGGTCTAGAAATTCAATGTCACTTTTTCAAGTGTGTTGGTCAGTATACTTTTCCCTGGATTGCCTGTATGTAGATTTTTGTCATTCTAATATCAGTCATCTGGTGGGGTGAAGAAACAATTTTACAATAGAAATAATCTTTTCAGTGTTTGCAAAGTAATTAATTAAAAGTTACACAGATATTTACTGTGGAAATGTTTTCATCTCTGTATGCCACTGTGCTTTCATAGCGGCGGTTATTTAGCTTTACGTAGGCAAATACCAAGCCATGCCATGTAAGGACCTAAAAGTTTTAGCCGTAAATTACAAGAAATCTCCCACAAAGCGACCGATTCCCTTCTCCAGCAGGAGGTTTCCCTTTGCAGGAAGAGCCTGAGTCTGACAAGAATTGGAGCTCTGAAAAAAACATATCAATAATCTTGAATGTGTTCTCTTTGAAACACAACCAAAACAGCTTTCTCCTGTAGTTGCTAAGGGCTGGTTTGGACTGAGGATCCCCCAGGCCCCTCGTGCTGTTTGCCAATGGCCATGTGTGTCCTGCCTGGCTGGCAAGGAGCAGCCCAAGCCAGTGGTGTTGGGTCTGTGGGTGATCTGTGCAGAGATCCCCAGCCTGGAGCCACAAAGCGTTCTGGTTGTTCCTCTCCTTGAGATCCAGACAGGGCACATCACACCGTAACACAACCATCAGCTGAAACGGCACGTGGTAAATACATCAGCTACATGTGTTAATGTTTTTACACAGAAACACCACTTTGTACTTTACACTGAAACCTTTTTTCTGTTTTATTGCTGGTTCTCATCTGGTTTGTTGAGTTTGAGACTTCTAATTCTTGAATAACTTTCCAAAATGTGTGTCTTTACAGACCTAATCTACACTACGTTTATACTTTGCCGAAGTGTATTTGATCTTCTGGATTTAGAAATTTCAACCTCGCTTGAAGTTTTGAGCTTGAGGTGCAGTTTTTGATACAGCTTTTCTTTAAAGGGCAGGCAGAGGAAGAAATAAATAACGGGGTCAAGGCAGACGTTTGCGGCAGACAGCACAAGGGTGAACTCCTTGGCGTAGAACAGGGTTTTCTTTGACTGGCAGTTGAACTGCGAGCTGGTCTGGCTCAGCGTGTACGGGATTCTGCAGAGGTGGTAGGGTACAAAGCAAATGACAAACACAAACATGATGCTGAATATATTACGGCTGGTTTTTCTCTTGGTCACATCTGAGTTCCTTCTGAACTTTTTATAGGAGCTATATATTTTTTTTGATATAGAAGTGTAAAAAATGATTAGCAGAAGGAAAACAACCCAAAAAATCCCTGTGCAAATATAGCTTGACACCTTGTGCCACTGTCTGCCAAGCTCACTTTTAAGGCCTATGCATTTTCTGGAATAACTCTCTTTAGTGATTTCATTAGTTAAAATCATATTTGGAAATGATATAAGCATTAACAAAACCCATATAATTATAGAGACCACCTTACTGTAGTTAACTGTGTGAACAAAGGAGGTGAATAAAGGCTTTACGATTTTGTAGTATCTGTCAAAACCTATGAGGCCAAAAAATGTTATCCCAATGTACATGTTTGTGTAGAAAACAACAGCGGAATATCTGCACACAAATGTGTTGAGCTGCGGAGGGGCGATTTCTGAATCGGCCAGAATTTTGAACGGAAACGTTAAGCTCATGAGGAGATCAGCAACGACGATGTTTTTGAGATAGACAATAAAGCTCTTTTTGCTGGCAACGTAGAGGAAGATCCAGGCTGCCACACCATTCAGCAAGAGCCCTGCTATGAAAATTAAGCAGTAGAGCAGGGGAATGACCGTCCTGGTTATGGCTGTGCTGTGGCTGCAGTTGCTGCCCAGGGAGGTGGTGCTGGAGTTGAACATCTTACAGCCTCTGTGTTCCTGCAAGCAGAGAGATCCTCTCAGTGAGGTAAAACGGTGCTGTGCTTGCCACTAATTACTATAAGATTGCTCCTCTCACTTCAGAATAAACTCGGCATACCTCTCAAATCACCACGTTATGTCCAGCAGGGATATCTAGTATTTCCCAGGTGGTGCCATCCCACTTTCTGATGATGTTCCTGGGCATCTTGTGCTGCTCTGAATGGAGAATCTGTTTGCTTCTCCATTTGTCAGTCCTTGTCCCCAAGCCCCTGCTGCCCCTTAGACCTAGGAGGGGACTGAGCCATAGTGGCTCTGTGACCCTAAATACTTCTTGTTAACCCTTAAGGACCAGTGTGGGTTTTTAGCACTGGTTTACCAGGAGGTATATGTGGGATGTGAGTACTCTTTGTACAAGTGTTGTGTTTTGCAGCGTAGAGAACACTCTGCTGTTCATCAGGTGTGGAACATTTCCTAGTGGTTACTTGAGAAAGCCTCGTGCAGCAAGCACAGTGTGCTTAAACTGCTGTTGATGTGACATTATAGCAGCGTGTCTGCGTGTTAGCACAGCGCAGAAGCTAGAGCTGTCCTCTCAAGGCACTCAGATGTACATTTTAGAGGATCTCCAAGAAGAAATAACATCTGCTGTCTGCTTTTCTCTGATGGAATGTTTACGGGGGTGGATTATCCCCCGTAGGGATGGCAGAACAGATATAGATGCAATGCTGCTGTATTTGGCAAGTGAAAACCTAGGCAACTGGGAAACACATGCCATGGAGCTGGGGAAAAAAAACACCCGTCTTTTAGAAAATAAAAAATGTTCTTATTGCCACAGTTTAGTCAGTAGCTCATGCCGCTGTAGTGGACTAGAACCTGAATGCAACCCCACAATAACTAGAAATGGAAATTTTCTTTTAAATAGATAAAATTGTTTCCTTCTGGTGTGTTGCTTTCTGTATCTCTTCTGCAGATGGTTAGGTGCTCTTCTGGACCTTGCATGAATAAATGGAGCAAGGGAGCAATGGAGCACGGGTACCAGAGCTCACACCCAAAGCCTGCAGTCAATCTGCAGTTCTCCTGTAAGAAGACCTCCCATCCTGGTTTTATGTTTAAGCTTCAGTCATCAAGGTGTTTGGCTGGGTTTTTAAAGGAAAAAGATGGTGTGGAGAGTGGGTGTTATAATATAGCTACCATGTGAATAGGTGTGTCAGGATTAGGAGGTGGCAATGGGTAAGGTTTGGGGTGATATTGCTAAAACTAGAAGGATCTCCACTTTTCCCTCTGTATCCTTCAGCCATCAACTCTCACTAACTGGGTGGTGCCAATAACAACTGGTATTGTTACTTAAGATGGTAACCTGCTGTATTTGAAAACTGTTCTCTTCCCACTGCCAGGTCAGACTCTGTAAGTCTTTCAGCATCAATGGCTTGTCCTCACCTTGCTTTGAGTGCTGGGGTGATTTTGTTACAGGTCCAGAGCACCTTCCATTCTCAGGCACGAGGCCTCTTGTCTTGCAGGGAGACCTGTGAGAGACAGGAAAACACAGCTGTTAGAGCGGTGTACTGTAACACAGGATGGCGTGAGCCTGCAGGTTGAGGGGGTGTCCTGTGGCGCAGCGCCTCTTTAGACCCTCTGACGGTCAGTGTGCGGACAAGTGTTCACATCTCTCGTCAGGACGCCAGAGCTGGTCAGCGACAGTCACAGAGCGGCCCTGTTCAACCCAGAGCCCATCGCTGCAGGGGTAAGGCTGGAGGCTTTTCTGTGTTCATTTGTGTTCATGGTCAACTTTATGTACTCCTTTTGTCATCAGGTTCAGAGATGGGTGATGTGGAGTCGGCAGAAGGCTTCTGCTTTGTAGAGCAGCAGCTGCCCTTTCAGTCGCGCAAGGTGCCCTTACACCTCCGTGGTGAGAACATCCTTTTCTCTCCTGAGACCTTGCAGTGGCTCCACCAAGTGGTGCAGGGCTTGACATGAGCAGAGATGCTCACCCCTCAGTCCACGTTGGGGTTCATCTGGAAATGGCAAATACTCCTCATTTGATGTTAGCCAGTGAGTCAGTTTAGGACCTTCTTGTGCAAGTGCTACTTGAGCTGATGACCAAGCTTAAGGATTCATTTTTTTTCCCAAATTCTTAAAACATGCATGGGTTTTTTTGCTGCTGTGTAATGGGTGCTATTTGCTGGTGTGTGTTGGAGGGTGTGTGTTAGCACCCAGCAATTTGTGATTTGTACATGAGAATAGCCTTCCATGCAGGAGCAGCGTTTCAGGTTCAAATGCTTGGTCTAGCATAAAGTATATTTATTCTATGTAAATAATCTTGACCAGTTGTGGAAAATGAGCAAACTTGATTCACCAAATTAACAAGATTGATTTGGTAAAAGTTTTGAACTTTCTCAGTTTGCAAATCATGTTGTCGTGGCAAAACACACAATAGGAATGCTACATAAACCATTAAAAATGCTTGGTTCCTTCTGCGTTCAAACTCTTACGCTATCATTTGTAACCCTTCCAATATCATTAAGGCACTTTTTCTTGAGTTCTGTAACTTGGCTGTCAAACTTCAAAGTTCATGGTTGCTTTACTGAACATAAGAATAATATTTACGAGTTTCTTTTTTTTTACCCTGAATATAACGAAGATTCTGTAGTACCGAGTGCACATTTTAGCTGTTTATGGAAATTAATGCAGCTGCTTGATAAATATGCAATGCAATTACTGGGTCAGGAATTGTTGACAGTGGTCACTGTCCCCGGAAAACTTTTTGAACTGCGGAATGGAGTTTATCAGGGAAAAAGATCATGCCAAACGTTATCTCTGATGTCATGAGAACCTAGAGAAAGAGGAAGCACAATACACAAAACACAGCGGCTGTGAGTTGTGCAGGGTTGTGCTAAAAGAAGAATTGTTTTTAAGAGAGTTTTTGATGTGGTATGATTTGTGCTGGTCTCTCCTTACCACGGCATTTTTTGCAGTGACTGTGGAAATATGTTGGTATGGTCGACTTCTTGCAAGTTTGCCAAGAGACTTAAGATTTTGGGTTTTTTCTGTTCTTATGATAACATTTGTCTTAAGGCAATGTCTGGACCTTAATACTTAAGAGAATAAAAATATGCAAAATCCACCAATGTACTATTTCAGCCCTTTAAAATGGCACATTGGGTGGCAGTTCTGTTTGTCAGAGATGCACAGAATGTAGAGGAGGAAAATGGGATGAATAGTCTAATTATGGCATAAAATGCAAACAGCATTCCTGTCGCAGGAAGGGGTGAGCAGGGACTGTGAGATGACGCTGTACGTGGTAGTGCTCAGTGCTTGCTTCCTCTGGTGTGGCTCAGAGAAAAGGGGGGTCTGCAAGTATGACAGTGACATTTGGGGGGGGTCTCAGCACCTGGCTGCTCTGCCTGCCAGCTCCTCAGGACCACTTGTGTCTACTGTGAGAGGACAGAGCCCTGCATGGGCCAGATTTCAACTCGGGCTGCTCTTCGGGGTGCCAGTGGGAGCAGTGTCCTGTCTGAAAGCGGCCAAGAGGCCGTGTGTCCCATGAAGGCCTCTGTGAGGGTCAGTGGCTCCCACCTACCCTTGGTGATACTGGACATGTCCTGTCTGTAAGTGTGAGTGGTAGAGGGAAGAAGTGTAAACAACTTTTTACATCTCAGCAGTGAGTCTCACTTTTGACTCAAAAAGGCAAAATTAAGGATGTTCTAGTGAGAAACTGGATGCAGGCCTCCTCTGACTCGGAACCCCGTCCTTTGGGGCTGTCCTAAGATGGCGTCCCTGTCCTGGTGGTGCTGTTTGGCCTTGTGAACGCCTGCCTGGCGTGTGCCATCTCTGTCCTTCTGCCTGCGTCCCCATAGTTGTGCCTTCGCCAGTGTCCCTGTGTAGGGACCGTGACCATGTGAGCGATCTGGCAGGCAGGGACCCTGTCACCTCTGTGGTGGCAGCACCCCAACACCGCTGCCCCCATCCGCAGCCCTTGGCTTCGCCCTGGGCAATGCAGCTCCAGCTGGAGTGTCTGGTCTTCATCATCCCTTAGCTGAAGGGAGCAGTTGGCTTGCTCAGTTTGGAAGAAATTGGCTATATCATCACCTTTAAAATGGTATTTTAACAAAAAACATGGAATAAAGCCGTGACATCTGTGTTGGGGCAGTATTTGCCCTGGCAGCCTGTGTTCATTCAGTTGGTTGTCCAGTTTTTGGGAGGTGTATAAAGATTTGAACCTCTTTGTATAGCACAGCCAATAATCTTAAATCTTTATGAATTAATGACTGTATCTGTGTTTCTCATTCCTTATATTTACAAAAACAATTCCCAAGCTAGTAAGTTCAAACACTTCCTGCCCGTGGTTGGGCTGAGTCCCCCCGACACCTTCAGAGATATGCAGTACTGAAGTAGAAAGTCTTCACTTTTTACGATTGTGAATGAATTCTTGTTTCCAGTTGGACATAAAACATCTGTTTCTAAACCTGATGCAGATCTGAGTACAGAGCTGTTTTTCTTGCTCCCTTCCCTCCTTCCTCTCCTCCGCAGCTGCTCACACTTGAAAAAAAAAAAGCAGCACCAAAAATATGTTGCCAGCTGATATATCCAGGCAATCCAGAGATGAGGACAATCAACATTTCTGTCCCCAGGTCAGCTCCAAGCAGCACCATGCCCTGCACAGCCCTGGCAAGGGTGAGCTGGGTGACGAAGGGACATAGGGAGCCCCATGCCCTCCTGAGGCTGCTGCAGGCTGCAACGCTTGGACCCGCAGCCACGCGTGGCCGCTGCCAGGGGACATTCAGAGCTGAAGCAGAAGCCTTGCGGTGTGACTGGGCAGGGAAGCTGTGCCACGTGGAACGGCACTGGCTGGTACAGAGCATTCAACGTTAACAGCGTTTTTATAACAGGTTTTCCTGACAAAGGTTATCGCAGACAGTGAGCTCATACGTGATGTTTTCTTGGCGTGCATGGTTTATTTCTGCTGTTTTGAAGGACAAATAAGCGAGGGGAGCCCAGAGACACAC